TACTTCATATCCATCTAATCTTTTTTTTTGAAATAACCATTTTTTTTTTAAGATTTTTTTAAAATTTATTTATCAGAGAGAGAGAAGGAGAGAGAGCGAGCACAGGCAGACAGAATGGCAGGCAGAGGCAGAGGGAGAAGCAGGCTCCCTGCCAAGCAAGGAGCCCGAAGTGGGACTCGATCCCAGGACGCTGGGATCATGACCTGAGCCGAAGGCAGCCGCTTAACCAACTGAGCCACCCAGGCATCGAGTATAGCGATTTTAACAGACAGGACTAAGGTGGTAGTAACTTACCGTGAAATGACATTCCACTGAGGATTCTTAAATATCTACTGTGGTTTCTCAGATATAAACAAAACTGGTTACTTGCTGTAAGTCAATGAACCTTACCTAATTTATATGTTAATGTATTCTTGGGGACGCCTGGGTGGTTCAGTCAGTTAAGTGCCTGCCTGCAGCTTGGGTCATGATCCCAGGCTCCATGGGATCAAGTCTCACATCGGGCTCCTTGCTCAGTGGGAAGCCTGTTCCTCCTGCCTGCTACTCTCCCTGCTTGTGCTCTCTCTCCCTCTGAAAAATGAATAAATAAAATCTTAAAAATATATATACACATATATTCTTGATATACCTTCAAAATGATTCCTGGCCCTTTTCCGTTTTTTTTTTTGTTTGTTTGTTTGTTTTTTAAGATTTTATTTATTTATTTGACAGACTGAGATCACAAGCAGGCAGAGAGGCAGGCAGAGAGAGAAGGGGAAAGCAGGCTCCCCACTGAGCAGAGAGCCCGATGCGGGGCTTGATCCAAGGACCCTGGGATCATGACCAGAGCTGAAGGCAGAGGCTTTAACCCACTGAGCCACACAGGCACCCCGTTTCTTTTTTCTTATTCAATTGGTTCAATTGTTGTTTTGCTTACTGACTTTTGCCTACTACTTCCTTTCCTTATTTCATCTTTGAACTTACTTTAAATTTTTCATTTAAATACATGAGGACAAATTTACATAAATTATTTTAGTCCCTGCCAGATGCCTGCAGACAACTGTGATTACAGCTAGCGAGATGTGTTCTCTGAGATCCAGCCCTGGATCTGAGGCAGGGAGACAACAGACAGCTATTATCTTCTCCAAACATGAGTGCTACTAACATTCTTGTTATTAAAAAAATACCAAATACAGGCAACTGAAATGTGACAGATTTCAATGAACTTTAATTTATATGCACTGGAAAACTCTAGAAATTAGACGCTAAGACTCATTCTTCAGTAAAATATGGGTGATAATATCAAGAATGTAGAGAGCATAACCACACTTCAAATGTTCCCTCTGAATGTTTTCAAATTTATTGAAATTTGCCGATCATTTTTATGGAAACCCAAGCTGAGAATTATGATGGATTACTTGCGTTTTTTGGTCAACAAAAACAAAGATATAAATTTCACATAAAGTTCATAATAAAAGCATATAAAGTTCATAATAAAAACATGAAAAAAAATTTCATATAAAGTTCACAATAAAAACATGCTTTAACCCCAAAATAAAGTGTTGGGAAATTGCATCTCAACTGTTAATTTGCATTCTTGCTGATACTTTGCAAGAAAAACAATTTCAAAGTTTGGCCTTTTTCCAAGAATTTCCTGTATTTCAAATATCTTGCCTGCTTTTTTTTTTTCTTCAACAATTGAAGTATTTAACTGAATTGTCATCAGTATTATAGATCTTCTTTTGTGTTTTCAATGAAATTTTTGGTTTCAGGGGTGTTAAGGATATTCCAAAACATTAACATGTATATCTTAACTATGGTGCAGTTTATAGCTCCTAATTATAGCTTTAGTAAATCTCAACTTGTCATGTCTTAATCAGTTTAGTATGTTTTATTATTGCCTATGTTCTACAAATTATTTGCAGCTACTGGATTAGAAGGGTGGAAACAGGATGCTACGTCTCTGGCAACTCTTCCCAACTGTGCTCAGTGACATCACACTGGCAGCTTGAGATCTGCCATAGTGGGAATATTTACACCAGCGAACTTGAAAGACACTACAAACCAGGACTTACATGTATCACTGAAAGTCTGGACTTAAGAACATGATGGAAAATACGTAAATAATGTAGATTAAACTTGAAAGTGTGTGGTGCATGTAGTCTTACCTTCTACTTACCACAGAAACACCTGAGGAATAAACGTAAGCTATTCCTTTGTTAACAAAAAAGAAAATAGCCGCAATTCATAAAAAAGAAAATAGTCTAAAGATATGAACAGACATCAAGATACATGGATGACAAATAAACACAAGAAAAAAAATGTTCAACATCATAAATCCCTAGGGAAATGTAATTAAAATTACTGCTTGCGGGGCGCCTGGGTGGCTCAGTGGGTTAAGCCGCTGCCTTCGGCTCAGGTCATGATCTCAGGGTCCTGGGATCGAGTCCCGCATCGGGCTCTCTGCTCAGCAGGGAGCCTGCTTCCCTCTCTCTCTCTCTCTCTGCCTGCCTCTCTGTCTACTTGTGATCTCTCTCTGTCAAATAAATAAATAAAATCTTTAAAAAAAAAATTACTGCTTGCTTGTTAAAAAGGTAAATTCCAAAGACTGAATCAAAAGACTGATGCCATGTATTGGCAAGGATGTTGAAGAACTGGAATGCTCATGTGCTACCAATGGGTATGCAAAAACAAAAAATCATTTTGGATACTCTGGTAGTTTTTTTTTTTTTTTAGAGATTTTATTTATTTATTTGGCAGACAGAGATCACAAGTAGGCAGAGAGGCAGGCAGAGGTGGGGGGAGTAGGCTCCCCACTGAGCAGAGAGATGTGGGGCTCAATCCCAGGGCCCTGGGATCATGACCTGAGTCGAGGGCAGAGGCTTCAACCCATTGAGCCATCCAGGTGTCCCTCTTTGGTAGTTTCTTAATAAGTTAAACATTCACCTATCCTATGGCTCAGGCATTTTACTTTGAGTTACTAACCCAAGAGAAGTGAAAAATACATATGTACATATTAAATTATATGTAAGTGTTCTAGCAGCTTTATTTGCAATCGCCCAAACGAGGTACCAAAGGCTCCTAACAGATGAATGGATAAACAAATGGTATATCCATAGAAAAGATACTATGCAGCAACAGGGTGAAACACTTATATTAGTATCACTGAAGAATTAATTATCTTAATTATCTTAAGATAATTACAAATCATGAATGAAACCAGAAAAAAAAAACACTTTATGATTCAGACCATATAAAATTCTAGAAAATACAAACTATTATAAATGAAGGTAAATCAAAGGTTGCCTGGAGAGGGGAAAGACACATTATAAAATGATGTGAGGCAAATTAGGGCTGATGGACATGGTCATAATCATGATCATGATGAAGTTTTGCAGATTTGTATGTACATCAAAACTTAACAAACTGTACACCTCAAATAGGTGGAATATACTGTATGTCAATTATACCTGAATCAAGTCCTACGGAATAGTTCCAAACAAACAAAAAAACACAAAACAAATACAAAAACAAAACCTGAATAAAGTTCTATGAAATAGTTCCAAACAAACAAAAAAACACAAAAGACGTCCCTCCCTCTTTTCATAAAATCAGGTTCTGCAGCCCTGTATTGACTCTATCTCTTTCCCGATGGCCTTGGAGAAGTGGCCTTGCCTTAGTGGTAGCAAATACTTATGACTAAGTAAATCCATACCACTCACTGAACAGGAATGCTGGCTAGGTCACAGAGCCACACCGAGGGACTAAAGGATCTCCTTTCTCTGCATGCTTGTTTTCCTATGTGTGTAGAAATGGCTTTAGGTGAATATACCAGAACCAGTAGCTTATCAAAGATCTCAGCGACAAAAGATGCACATACCTGGAGGTCCTGAGTTTCTATACATACCTATCCTGCACAATCACAGTCACTGGGGCATTTGTTGATGCAATGCTAGAAGGGGCATGTGCCGTCTACTTTGCTTCAGACTCCTCCATTGTTACTGTACCAATTATAGTTCCCCGGGGGCTCTGTCTTCTCACCATGACACTTGCCTAATGAATCCTTGGTATCAGGGTACATGGCTCCTTTGTAGCACCTGGGGTAGAGACTCAACACTACTGAGCGTTATGTGACATCCACTGTGAAAAAGAAAAACAATTCCTGTAGTTCTCAGAACCACTGAAGGTTGTCACAATTTCCTGACTCTTCAGGGTGTTCTCTGAGCCCACAAAAAAATCCTGAAACCCAGTCCACAAATTAGGACAAGGCCTGGCAGTCTTTCCTATGAGACCTCAGGCAACAATGTAAATTGTTGGAAAAGCTGGAAAGAGAGCTATTTTCTTTCCAGACTCTCATCTGAGGCACACAAAGCATTGGGAACCCCAACAAAGGTGTTCACTCCGTAATGCCGACAGAACCCAGGCATTTTCAAATCACCTCACATAGTGAAGAGAACCCCAAGAGCAAAGATGGCTTAAACAATAAAGTCTTTATTACTGCAAAATCTAAAGGAATAGGAGGCAGGGAGATCCCAGGTTGGTGACTTGGAGGGCAGGAAAATCCAAGAGGAGTGTCACACAGAACAAATACATCCTTGAAAATGTGGTCCTTCTTGGCAAGTTACCAGCAGAAGTCAGCTTGGGTCCTCTGGGCCATGCTCTAACTTCTACAAGAGAAGAGAATGAAGGCCCTATAAGGGCTAAGAGTAATCACTATTTCCTCCAGCAAAAGGGAGGGAAAAAGGTCAGCTTCCCTGAGCACACTGTGGTGGTAACTAAAGCACTAATGCACACTGTAAACGCTGAGTGGTAGAGGTGATAAAACTTTTCCACAGAAACTGGCAGTGACATAAACCTGGCAAGAGCCCTGGATAGGTTAGAAGTGTAACACAGCTCCTGTATAGATTCCCACATACTTCAACTAAAGGGAGATCTCTCCACTGTGGATTTTCAGATGTATGGGCTTAAATTTAGGTAGATGGCTTCCTCACAACTTTTCTCCTCCAGTGTAATTATCTAAGGCCTTTCTCTAGTATGAAGTCTCTGGTGTTGAAGGAGGTCAGATTTGGAGCTAAAGGATTTCCCGCATTTTCTGCACTCAGTAGATCTCTTTCCAGTGTGAACTCTCCGGTGCTGAATGAGGCTGGAGCTTTGGCTAAAGGATTTTCCGCATTCCCCACACTCATAAGGCCTTTCGCCTGTGTGAACTCTCAGGTGTTTAACGAGGTTAGATTTGCAGCTAAAGGACTTTCCACATTCACTGCACTCAATAGGCCTTTCTCCAGTGTGAACTCTCCAGTGGTTCTTGAGGTTGGAGCTATGGCTAAAGGATTTTCCACATTCCCCACACTCATAAGGCCTCTCTCCTGTGTGGACTTTACGATGTGAACTGAAGCTGGAGCTTTGCTTAAAGGATTTCCCACATTTACTGCACTCATAAGGCCTTTCTCCAGTGTGAAGTCTCCTGTGGTGAATGAGGCTGGAGCTTCGGCTGAAGGATTTCCCACATTCACTGCATTGATGAGGCCTTTCTCCAGTGTGAACTCTCCTGTGGTAAATGAGACTGAAGTTTTGGCTAAAGGACTTCCCACATTCACTGCACTCATAAGGCCTTTCTCCAGTGTGAACTCTCTGATGTTGAATGAGGTTGGACCTTTGGCTGAAAGATTTTCCACATTCCCTGCACTCATAAGGCTTCTCTCCAGTGTGAACTTTCCTATGGCTATTGAGGCTGTAGCTTTGGCTAAAGGATTTCCCACATTCATTGCACTCGTAGGGCCTTTCTCCAGTGTGAACTCTCCGATGTATAATGAAACTGGAGTAATAGGTGAAGAATTTTCCACATTCATTGCACTCATAAGGTCTTTCTCCAGTGTGGACTTTCTGGTGCTGAATGAGGTTACATCTTCGGGTACAGGCTTTTCCACATTTGCCACACTCATAGAGTCCTTCTCTACTGATAACTCTCTGGTCCTGAGCAAGTGTGTCTGCGCAGCTGAAGGCTTTCTTGCATTCTCCACAGTTGTGATGACTTTTACCACTGTGAAAGACAGCCTTACACTCATTGTTCAGCTTCTCCCCAGTGTGAGTGACCTGTTGTTGGAGAAATCCCATGCTGGCTAAGAAGTCCTTCCCTGTCTCCTCACAGGTAAAGGGCTTCCCTGACACCTGGACTGTATAGTTCTTTATAAATGAGGCTCTGTCCACAGAATTTCTGAAGGGTATCTCTCCAGTGCGCTGCCCCCGGTACTGCTGAAGGTTGGCATCTAAACATAATTGTTTCCTAGATGTATATGGTTTTTCCCCAAGATATGTTCCTTGGTGCTCAGCCAAGTACAAAATGCTTCTCAAGATCGGGCCATGCAGTTCAAAGGGCTGGGCCTTCTGGGAAGGTGAATCTGCCTTAAGAGTCCCAATCTCTGAAACTCCTATAGGAATGCTCTCTTCGGAAGGTGCATGCTCATCCTCCACTCCAAGCCAACAACCTGAAAGCAAAGAAGTGATGATGAAATACATGTTGACTTTACTGGGAAGGGGCAAAACCCATCACGAATGTACATCTGACACATTAAAGAACCAGTATAAGGAACTGTTTTCAGGAAAAGGAAGTTGGGGTTAGGTTTGGGAAGCAGCTGCTTTGTACTACTGGGTCCCCAAGGTCACAGAACTGGGGAGGCCTCATTAGGCATAAGATACAAGAAAAGGGTTGGGCTGGGGTGAAACACATGTTCTACAACCCATTCTACTGTTAATGGCTTTTAGCAGGATTACATCTGCTGTGACTGTGATGCTGGCCAGAAGTCTATGTCCACATGTAGGAAAATCTGACTGGAAGAAAGTAACTGGCTTTAAGAATTCATAAAAGATGGGGCGCCTGGGTGGCTTAGTCAGTTAAGTGTCTGACTCTTGACTTCAGTGCAGGTTGTGATCTCAGGTTAGTGAGATCGAGCCCCACGGCAGGCTCCACGCTGGGCATGGAACCTGCTTAAGATTCTTTCTCTCCCTCTCTCTCCACCCCTCTCTTTAAAAAAAAAAAAAAAAAAAGAATTATTAAAAGATATGTGCACACTTTAGAATACAGCAATGTTAGAAAGCACTGTGGAGAGAAGAGTGTGAGGAGTAAGAAAAAAGGTCCAGAGAGGTGGGGATTGGCCTGGGGCTAGAGAATGAATAAAAATGACAAGTCAGCAAAGTGTCAAGAATGGAGAAGGGAAGGTAGAAGTGAGTTGTGGCCACCAGCAATGGCACCAAAACACAAGTCAAACACAATAGGTTCCTGGTGTGATTTGAACAAAGGTCTGATATCACATTCTCCCCCATCTGTCATTCACCTGGATCAGGCCCTCTCTGGGCGCATCTTGTGGAGACTGGAATTATATCCATCCTGTGACGCACAGGAGACTCTTCCCCTAACCCCAGCTGAGCAACTGCATGGGACCTGGAAGATCCAAATCCTAAGGATAAGATAGGATAGGTCAGTGGTTAATATTGGCCTGGAACAACTCAGCACACAATGGATCACAGGAAACATACTATAAAAAGTACCTCCATGCCCAGCTAGAGGGAAGATGGTGGGGCAGTAAGCACCAGGAGCCTGTCTCCTCACCCGGACCACAAATGCATTGACAGACTCAATCTGATTTAACTATTTTGCAACTCTAGAGTCTAATGAATGCTTGCAACTTGCTAAATTGCTTTAACTTTGGTCAATATCAGCTCTTAGCAATGTGTTAAGTTATCTACATCCCAACTTGTCTAGCTCTTGAGTCCTACAGCAGGCAGTCATACACATTTTTCTAGAGCAGCTTGCTGGAGTCCAGGTGGGCAATAAGGACTCTGTCCTCCAAGTATCACAGATCTATGCTTCTGATGGTGGAGGTGTAACAGACGGGTGGGCAGCCATTGTTGCAAAACCTCTCCCTCCCTGACTCAGGCAATTTTATAGGAGATTTAAAGGGCAGATATCTATCCATTCCACCACCTCCTGTTTCTCTTATTCCTTTTTTGGGAGGCAGAAATTCAAGACTAGGATATTCAAAATCACATATATGGAGGAATAGAGAAAATCATTATACATGCCCAGGGAAAGGCACAGTCTTAGAAAAAAACAGAGGACACCTTAAGTTTATACCTCAGACCGATCTCCAGTAGACACCCTACAACCATTAAACAAACAACCTCCAAATGTTCAGTTTTCAACAACAACAAGAACAACAACAAATCACAGGACACACAAAGCAACAAGAAAGTTTAATCCATTCTAAAGAAAAAAAAATCAGGGGCGCCTGGGTGGCTCAGTGGTTAAAGCCTCTGCCTTCGGCTCAGGTCATGATCCCAGGGTCCTGGGATCGAGCCTCGCATCGGGCTCTCTGCTCAGCAGGGAGCCTGCCTCCTCCTCCTCTCTCTCTCTGCCTGCCTCTCTGCCTACTTGTGATCTGTCTGTCAAATAAATAAAAAAAAAAAAAATCTTTAAAAAAAAAAAAAAAGAAAAAGAAAAAAAAATCAAGAGAAAGTGTCCTTGAGAAAGACTACATTGTGTACTTATTAGACAAAGACTTTATTTTTTTCTTCAAGATTTTATTTATTTGACAGTGAGAGAGAGAGAGAGAGAGCGCACAAGCAGAAGGAGTAGGAGAGGAAGAAGCAGGTTCCCCACTGAGCAGTGATCCCAATGTGTGGCTCCATCCCAGGACCCTGGGATCATGACCTGAGCTGAAGGCAGATGCTTAACCAAATGAACCACCCAGGTGCCCCTAGACAAAGACTTTTATTTATTTATTTATTTATTTATTTATTTTAAAGATTTTATTTATTTATTTGACAGATAGATCACAAGTAGGCAGAGAGGCAGGCAGAGAGAGGAAGGGAAGCAGGCTCCCTGCTGAGCAGAGAGCCCGATGCGGGGCTCGATCCCAGGACCCTGGGATTATGACCTGAGCTGAAGGCAGAGGCTTTAACCCACTGAGCCACCCAGGCGCCCCCAAAGACTTTTATTTAAAACATCTGTCTAAAAGACGCTCAAAGAGCTAAAAGAAAATGTGGACAAAGTCAAGAAAATGTTGCATGGCCAAAACATAAATATCAATAGATATAGGCAATATAAAGAATAATCAAAAAGAAATTTGGGGGCTGAAAAATATAATAACTAAATGAAAGAACTCACTAGAGGAATACAAAAACAGCTTTGAGTAGGTAGAAGTAATCAGTGAACCTGAAGATATCAAATCTGAGGAAAAGAAAGAAAAAGGATTGACCAGAACTGAACAGAACATAAGAACCTATGGGATACCATCAGTAAACCAATATATGCAATGTGTTAGTCTAGAAGAAGAGGGAAACAAAAGGACAGAGAGCTTATTTGAAGAAACAATGCCTGAAAACTTCCCAAATTTGATGGAAGACACAAATATTAACATTTAAGAAGCCCAGTGAACTCCAACCAGGCTAAACTCTGAAACTCACTCTTGGCACATCATAGTCCAAGTGTCAAAAGCAAAATGCAAAGAGAGAATCTTGAAAGCAACAAGACAGAAGTGACTCATCACATACAATGGATCTCCAAGATGATCAGATTTTTCATCAGAATCCACAGAGGCAAGAGGTAGTGGGTTGATATATCCAAGGGTTGAAGGAAAAAAATCCAAGAATCCTATAACAAGCAAAAATGCCCTTAAAAAATGAGAGAGAGGGGCGCCTGGGTGGCTCAGTGGGTTAAAGCCTCTGCCTTCGGCTCAGGTCGTGATCTCAGGGTCCTGGGATCGAGCCCCACATCGGGCTCTCCGCTCGGCGGGAAGCCTGCTTCCTTCTTTCTCTGTCTGCCTCTCTGCCTACTTGTGATCTCTTTCTGTCAAATAAATAAATAAAATCTTTAAAAAAAAAAAAGAAAAAAAAAAAGAGAGAGAAATTAAGACCTTACAGATAAGTAAGCGCCAAGGAAGTTCTTTACTACTAGATGTATCCTGCAAGAAATGGTAATGGGGTTCCTTCAGGTTGAGATGAAAGGACACTAGACAGTAACGCAAAGCCATCTGACCAAATAAAGATCTCTGTTAAATTAAATACAAAAACAATTATAAAAGCTAATAAGTTGGGCTTATAACTCCACTTTTGGGGGGCACCTGGGTGGCTCGGTCGGTTGGGCATCTGCCTTCCGCTCAGGTCATGGTCCCAGGGTCCTGGAATTGAGCCCCGCATCGGGCTCCCTCCTCACCGGGAGGCCTGCTTCTCCCTCTCCCACTCTCCCTGCTTGTGTTCCCTCTCTCACTGTGTCTCTCTCTGCCAAATAAATAAAATCTTAAAAAAAAAAACCCAACTCCACTCTTTGTTTCCTGTGTTTAAGAGATTAACGCATAAATAACAATTACTGATCCAAATTTCTGGACATACAACACATACAAGATGTAATTTCATGACATCAGTAACTAAAGGGTGTAGGAACAGAGTCGTATAGAAGCAGAGTTTTAAAAAAATATGACTGAGGGGCACCCGGGTGGCTCAGTGGGTTAAAGCCTCCACCTTTGGCTCAGGTCATGATCCCAGGGTGCTGGGATCGAGCCCCACATCAGGCTGTCCACTCCGCAGGGAGCCTGCTTCCTCTTCTCTCTCTCTCTGCCTGCCTCTCTGCCTACTTGTGATCTCTGTCTGTCAAATAAATAAATTAAAAAATATATATATGACTGAGAGGCACCGGGGTAGCTCAGTAGGTAAGCCTCTGCCTTCAGCTCAGGTCATGATCTCAGGGTCCTGGGATTGAGCCCCGCAGAAAGCCTGATCCAACCCCCCATGCCTGCCTCTCTGCCTACTTGTGATCTCTGTCAAATAAATAAATAGAATCTTAAAAAAAAATATGATTGAAGCTAAGCTGGCATAAATTCAAATTAACTGTTATAATTTTATATGTTAAATGTAACCCCATAATTAACTAAAACAAAACAAAACAAAACAAAAACCCAAAAAAGAAAAAACAAAGCCCTCTAGAAGGTATACCAAAAAAAATCCTCCAAAACAAAACCAACAAATCAGAACATTTCACTACAAAAAAAAAAAAAAAAAAAAATCAACTGAATACAAAAGACAGCAATACAGAAAATGAGGGGAAAAAAGCTGCAAGGCCTACAGAAAACAAATAACAAAATGACAGATGTCCCTGCTCATCAGTAGTTACTATAAATGTAAATAGATTAAACTCTCTAAACAAAAGACAAAATTGGTGGAATGGATAAAAAAATGTGACCCAACTATATGCGGCCCACAAGACACTCACTTTAGACCCAAAGACATAAGTTCAAAGTGACTGCTTGGAAGTGACCATGCAAATAGTAATCCAAAGAGAGCAGGGGTGGCTACACTAATATTAGACAACAAAGTGATTTACACCAAAAAAGGTTATGAGACAAAGAAAGTTATTATGTATTAATAAAAGGTTCAAGACACAAGAAAAGATAATAATTATAAACATTTAGGCACCTATGACCAAATAAAGATCTCTTATCAAATTAAAGATCATTGGGGCGCCTGGGTGGCTCAGTGGGTTGGGCCTCTACCTTCGGCTCAGGTCATGATCTCAGGGTCCTGGGATCGAGCCCCGCATGGAGCTCTCTGCTTAGCGGGGAGCCTGATTCCCCCTCTCTCTGCCTGTCTCTCTACCTACTTGTGATGCGTCAAATAAATAAACAAATTAAAAAGAAATAAATTAAAGACCATCAAAACCATGAAACAAAAATTGATAGAACTGAAGGGAGAAACAGACAGTTCTAAAATAATAGCTGGATATATCAATTCCCCACTCTCAAAAATATAGAATAAACACACCAAAGTAAGGAAACAGAGGACCTGAACAATACAAAAAACCAAGTATAACTAGCAGAATATACAGAACACTGCCCAACAGCAACATAATATACATTCTTCTCAATTGCACATGAGACATTTTCCAGGAAAAAGCATATGCTCCGTAAATTAAGTGCTACTAGATTTAAAAAGACAGAAGTCATGCAAAGCATCATTCCAATCAAAATGGGTGAAGTTAGAAATCAAAACCTGAAGGAAAACTGGAAAATTCACCAGAAAATTCACCAAAAAAACCCTGGGGCACCTGGGTGGCTCAGTGGGTTAAGCCTCTGCCTTCGGCTCAGGTCATGATCTCAGGGTCCTGGGATCGAGCCCCGCACTGGGCTCTCTGCTCAGCAGGGGCCTGCTTCCCCCTCTCTCTCTGCCTGCCTCTCTGCCTACTTGTGATCTCTATCTGTCAAATAAATAAATAAAATCTTAAAAAAAAATTCACAAACCTATGAAAATTAAACAAATAATTTTTAAACAACCAATGGGTCAAAGAAGAGTCATAAGGGAAATTACAAAATACTTAGGTTTAGAGACAAATGAAAAGATGGTATCAGCAATAATTATGTGAAGCAGCAAGAGCAGCACTAAGGGGGAAATTTATTGCTGTAAACACATTAAAAAGGAGAAAGTTCTTGAATCAACAGCTTACCTTTACGAACTTTTTTTTTTTTTTTTTTTAAGATTTTGTTTATTTATTTGACAGACAGAGATCACAAGCAGGCAGAAAAGCAGGCAGAGAGAGAGAGAGAGGAGGAAGCAGGCTCCCTGCTGAGCAGGAGAGCCTGATTCGGGGCTCAATCCCAGGACCCTGCAATCACCACCTGAGCCGAAGGCAGAGGCTTTAACCCACTGAGCCACCCAGGTGCCCCTACCTTTACAAACTTAAAGAACTAAAAAAAGAGCCAATAAACCCAAAGCTAGTAGGAAAAAAAAAAGAAGAAATACTAAAGATGTGAACTGAGATAGAGATAAGAAAAACAACAAAGAAAAGGCAACGAAACTGAAAATTGGTTCTTTCAAAAAGCTATCAAAATTTAGACAAACTTTTAGGGTGCCTGGCTGGCTCAGTCAGTGGAGCATGATTCTTGATCTCGGAGTTGAGCTTAAGCTCCACGTTGAGTTTAGAGATCACTTAAAAATAAAATCTCTAAAAAAAAAATTGACAAACTTTTACCTGGATTGGCCTTAAAAAGAAAAGACTCAAAGTGACAAAATGAAAAATTATAGTGGGAACATGACTACCAATTCTACAGAAATAAAAGAGATCATAAGAGAGTACTAGTAAGGAGACTGAATCACTAATCAAAAACCTCCTGACAAAGGAAAGCCTTGGGGCACCTGGATGCTCCCTCAGTTAGTTAACTGTCTCCTTCCAGCTCAGGTCTTAATCCCAGCGTCCTAGGATTGAGTCCTACATCAGGCTCCCTGCTTAGCGAAGAGTCTGCTTCTCTCTCTACCTTTCCCTCATGCTTGTGATATCTCTCTCTCTCAAATAAATAAATAAAATATTAGGGCGCCTGGGTGGCTCAGTGGGTTAAAGCCTCTGCCTTCAGCTCAGGTCATGATCTTAGGGTCCTGGGATCAAGCCCTGCATCCGGCTCTCTGCTCAGGGGGGAGCCTGCTTCCCCCCTCTCTCTGCCTGCCTCTCTGCCTACTTGTGATCTCTGTCTGTCGAATAAATAAATAACATCTTTAAAAAATAAATAAATAAATAAAATATTAAAAACAAAATAAACTTGGGGCACCTGGGTGGCTCAGTTGGTTGAGCACCTGCCTTCGGCTTGGGTGGTGATCTCAGGGTCCTGGGATCGAGCCCTGGATCGGGCTCCCTGCTCAGTAGGGAGGCTGCTTTTCTCTCCCATTCTCCCCCTGCGCACTCTCTCTCTCAAAAGAATAAATAAAATCCTTAAAAAAAAAAAAAAAAATTAAAATAATAAAATAAAATAAACTCAGCTTTCCTTTGGGGAAAAAAAGAAAAAGAAAAGCCTGGACTTGATGGTTTCACTGGTGAGTTCTGCCAACCACTTAATGAAGAACAAACACCCATTTTTATAAAAAACAGACAAAGCCACTAGGAGCAAACAGAAGACCAATAATATACTTGATGATTCATCAAGGTAAAAAAATCATCAACAAAATACTCCCAAACTGAATTCAGAAGCATACTGAAGGATTATACACCATGACCTACTGGGATTTACTTCTAGAATGAAAGGATGGTTCAACATACAAAAATTAATCAATGTAATACATCCCACTCACAGAATGAGGGAAAAATTATATGATCATTTCAACTGATGCACAAAAAAAGTCTATCAAAATTTAACACCCTTTCATGATGAAAATAGTCAATAAACTAAGAACAGAAGGAACTACCTTAACATAGTAAAAGTAAAAGATCACAACCCATGGCTAATATATTCAATGCTGAAAGACTGAAAGCTTTTCTTCCAAGATCAGGAAGAAGGATGCCAACATTCACTACTACTATTCAAAATGGTATTGGAAGCTCTAGACAGAAAAAAAAAAAAAAAAAAGGAAAAGAAAAAGAAAAAGAAAGGCATCCAAAGCGAACGGAATAAGTAAAATTATCTTTGCTTGTGCATACATCATATACAGAAAACTAGGCCTAAAGACTTAAAAAACTTTTAGAATAAGTGAACTCGGCAAAATAAGAGGATACAAATAGGATATTAAAAAAACCAGTTGTGGGACGCCTGGGTGGCTCAAGTTGGTTAAGCAGCTGCCTTCGGCTCAGGTCATGATCCCAGCGTCCTGGGATCGAGTCCCACATCGGGCTCCTTGCTTGTCAGGGAACCTGCTTCTCCCTCTGCCTCTGCCTGCCATTCTGTCTGCCTGTGCTCGCTCTCTCCCTCTCTCTCTCTGACAAATAAAAAAAAAAAAACTTAAAAAAAAAAAAAAACAAACCAGTTGTATTTCTGTACATTAATAATGAACAATCTAAAAAGGAAACTAAAAACAATTCCACTTATAACAGTATCAAAATAATAAAATACTTAGAAATTAACCAAGAAAGTAAAGTATATGAACACAAAAAACTACAAAACATTGATAAAAGGAATTAAATTAATAAGTGGAAAGACTTCTATATTCCTGGATTGAAAGATTTAATACTGTTATCAATACTACTCCAAACCATCTACAGATTCAATGCAATCCCTATCAAAAGCACAATTTTTTTTGTAGTAATAGAAAAATTCACATGGAATCTCAAGGATACCAAAAAGCCAGAACAACCTTGAAAAAGACTAAAGTTGAAGGAGTCACACTTCTTAATTTAAAATTTTACTCCAAAGCTAAGTAGTCAAAACACTGTGATACTGTCATAAAGACAAATAAAGACCAATGCAATAGAATAAACACTCCAGAAATAAACTCTTGCATATATGGTCAAATTATTTTCTACAAGGAGGCCAAGACCATTCTAGACCACTCAGTGGGGACAATCCATTAGGCTGACATCAAGGCTATGGATCCTGAATCCCTCCCTGTGAGGGTCTGAAGCAGCAGGTGTTGTGGCAATAAAGGGAGAGAAGGGGACATGCAGTCCAGCTCTAGAAACCACAGCACCTACCCAGGGAATTGGGGAAGGCAGCAGTACCCATCATTCAGAGGTGAGACAGAGCTGCACCTACGGAAAAGAGAAAGGTAGAGCCTCTCCCAGGGCATGGAGGTGGGTGTGAGGGCCTTACCTAGTGAGGATGTGAGTGCAAAGTTCTCTAGCATCACATCATGGTACAGGCATCTCTGATCCTCGTCTAGGAGATCCCATTCCTCCCAGGAGAAATAGAGGGCCACGTCTTCAAAAGTCACACTTCCCTGCCAGGATAGAGAAAGGTGAAACCACGAAAAGCCTCACTCCTGAAGACCCATACTCCATATCCCCACAGATCTACCTCACGTCCCTCCTCCTCTCAAGATCCCCAAATCAGAGGAGATACCAGACTCTTGTGTCACTGGTGTCTGCTCTTTCCTTTTACTCCCGTAATCGCTGTGCTCACTCTGTTTCCCACTCTGCAATCAAATGGAATGTGCTAAGACCTATATAAGATCACCTGCTGGGGCGCCTGGGTGGCTCAGTCGGTTGAGTATCTGCCTTTGGCTCAGGTCAGGATCTCAGGGTCCTGGGATCCACTCCCACATGGGGCTCTCTGCTCAGCAGGGAGTTTGCTTCACTCTCTCCCTCTGCCCTCCCCCTGCCTTCTTGTGCTCTCTCTCTCTCTCTGTCTCTCCCTCTTTCTCAAATAAATGAATAGAACCTTAAAAAAAAAAAAAAAAAAGACCACCTTCTTCTACTGATCCAGATTTTCCCTTGCCTCCAGATGGACGCCTAACTTCAGAGGCAGTCATTCCGAGCTCGACTCTGGCGCAGTGCCCCGGTTTGTTCTCACCAGAAAGAAAGGAGGCCTGCAATCACCTGAATGCGCTGAGCCTCATCTCCAGGCAGTTCCACATACTGACACATCTCTTTCCCTTGATCGGCCCAAATGGGAACCCCTTCGTATAAGCCCTGGCCTAGACTCGACTTTGAGCTCGGGTTCTTCAGGGTCCCCAAACTCAAGGGCTGGGAGAACGGCAGATGAAGAGTTCATGACGCCGCGGATCTGGACAACATGTGGTACGGAAGCAGGAGGGACTGGTACCCGTCCACTCACCTGTGTAGGTTCCAAAAGCACTTCTGCAACCATGGAAACCTGTGGGAAGAGGCAGGTCTTCGAGAGATGTGGCCATGGCGACTTTCCAGGGCCTCAGGCCTTCCCTGTGTCCCTGCGGGGCACCAGAGCCAGGTAACCTGGGTCAGACTGGCCGGCCAACCTCTGTGCTGTGTGTCATTGGGAAAAGACTCAACTTCCCCCTGTGTCCTCATCACCGTCTACAACTTTTCTATTGAGCAGACTTCGGAGGCTACTCAAACCCCAGCGTAGACCGCGTCTCTTTTCCTCAAAATTCTCCACGGCTCCCAGGACCCTCAGAACCGAGGTACGGCACCTCGGCCCGCCAGTCCAGGGGTCTCCGCCTCACGCCCTCTGAGGGCGGAAGGGCAGAATCTTCCCCCTCAGGCCCCCTGCAGCCCCCGCCCCAGCGGCCCCTCAGCCCGGAGCCCGCTCCCGCACGCAGCCCGCCGGCGCTCACACACGCGCCCCTGCCCACCAGCGCCTCCCTGTTCTGGACACCCGGGCCTGGGCCGCAGGGTCGCGAGCAGGCGCCCCGCGCTCGGGCCTTTGGGGTCTGGGTGGGGGGCGGAGGGGAGGCCCCGGGAGACAAGGGTTTACCTCAGCCGGGTCCCTGGGCGCGGCCGCCGCCATCGGAGCCTCTCGGGGGAGCGAAGTGATGACAGCTGAGCGGCCCCGGCAGTCGCGGACACCGAGGTCTCCAGGCGATCCTCGCAGGCGGCGAAGTCCCCGACCCCAAACCCACCTTCCTACAGCGGAGACAAAGCCTCCTTTTATGCCTTCTCTATCCGTCGCCTGGGTCGCAACCGGTGTTCAGGATCCACTGACCAAGCCCGAAGACCCCAGAACCGCTAAAATGACCGCCACGGAAACGACGGAAGTCCCGCCTCAAGGCTGATTGCCCTGCCGGAAGTGTCCCATTTCTGGGTTTTCATTGGACTACTGCGGCTGCCGCTCAACGCAAGCCTTTCTGGGTAATGTAGTTCCTTCGGCAAGGCAGGCGGGAAGAGGGGCGCCCAACACCAGGAACTCTCAAAGAAAAGATCAAACAGCAAGGCTAGGCCCAAGGTAAATGACCCTTTACTTCTGGGGTCCGGAAAGGTGTTCGGTTCCTCTTACAGAGGCAGCGGACAACTTCTGGGGAGTCTTAAAGTGCCCTCTAGGGTCTTTGGTGCTACCGATCGCTGGAGTGTTTCCGCATTATTTCAGACTCTATGAAGCCGGCTCTAGCAGACGTCCACTGGTAGCGTCCACTGGTGGCGGGCAACGAGTGAGCACGGTCTTACCAGTCTTTACACGCAAGTGGCCTGAGGTGTTAGTCACTGTTTCGAGCTTCAGTCCGTTGGGTCCGGGACAAAGAAAAGCATTTGACCTTTTTTGGTATCTATTTGTCAATAAAAGAACATTCTGAAAATAGCACCAATCAATCATATCAGGTCCAGCATGGCTACTAGCATTTCCAGTGAACTTAAGAAATATATCATTTGAGGGGCACCTGGGTGGCTCAGTCAGTGAAGCATCTGCCTTCGGTTCAGGTCATGATCCCAGAGTCCTGGGATGGAGCCCCGCATCCAGCTCCCTGCTCAGCAGGGAGTCTGCTTCTCCCTCACGGTTGTGATGCTCTATTGCACACTCTCTCTCTCTCTCTCTCAAACAATAAATAAAATCTTAAAAAAAAAAAAAGGATACTGAAAGGTTTTTTATTGCAACCTAATTAAAATCTTTAATACGTAAATTGTATAGAGGAAGCTCTCCTGACAATTTTCAGTACCCCACTAATCAATTTGATAGACAAAAATTCTTTTTTTTTTAAACTTTAGCTTGCTTTTTTTTTTTTTAAAGATTTTATTTATTCATTTGACAGACAGAGATCACAAGCAGGCAGAGAGGCAGGCAGAGAGAGGAAGGGAAACAGGGTCCCTGCTGAGCAGGGAGCCAGATGCGGGATGCGGGGCTCGATCCCAGGACCCTGGGATCATGACCTGAGCTGAAGGCAGAGGCTTTAGCCCACTGAGCCACCCAGGCGCCCCAAAAGACAAAAATTCCTGCAAATTTTATAAAAAAGTATTTTAGGAGGAAAATAATACATAGTAGGAGGAAATATAAACATTCCTCCTTTTAGGAGGAAAATAAACACATTAAATTCTCATCTGGTATTAAGTTTATGAAAATACAAGTTAAATGATAAATTATATTTGATATTTCATCATTAAGGAACTAATTTTCTATAATTTCTTATATGGTCTAATTTTTATTATGGATCTCCTGATAAATATTTTATACTATTCTTTGTGTTTATAGAAAAACAAAAGTGAATTAAATACAATCACTATTTAATTACTAGAGCTCTTTAAGTGGACTAAAGGGGTGCCTGGGTGGCTCAATCAGTTAATCCTTTCGCTGGGGACCCGATCTCAGGGTCCTGGGAAGGAGCCTTGCATCAGGCTCTCTGCTTATCAAGGAGTTTGGTTCTCCCTCTCCCTCTGTGCTCTCCCTCTCTCTCTCTCTTTCAAATAAATAAATAAAATGTTTAAAAAACAGTAAGTGGACTAAAAATTTCAAAATGTTTCATAGATCTTCTGAGTACAGAATGTTGTAGATTATATATTACATCCTAATCATTTACAGTTTTTCAAAAAGATTTTATTTACTTGACAGAAAGAGATCACAAGTAGGCAGAGAGGCAGGCAGAGAGAGAGGGGAAAGCAGGCCCCCCGACGAGCAGAGAGCCCAACTTGGGACTCGATTCCAGGACGCTAGGATCATGACCTGAGCTGAAGGCTGAGGCTTCCCACTGAGCCACCCAGGCGACCCATCATTTACAGTTTTAACCCTCACTTTTAACTCAGATCGAATTTTATTGTAAGGACCTAAAATTTTTAAAGTGAGGAATCTTTTATTTGTATTTATTTAGTTAGTTTTTAAGAAATATGCTGATGAAGCAAACACTAGTTTTTTTTTTAAGGAATCTCTTTTATTTATTTATTTATTTATTTATTTAATTTATTTGACAGACAGACATCACAAGTAGGCAGAGAGGCAGGCAGAGAGAGAGAGGAGAAAGCAGGCTCCCTGCTAAGCGGAGGGCCAGATGTGGGGCTCGATCCCAGGACCCTGGGATCATGACCTGAGCGGAAGGCAGAGGCTTTAACCCACTGAGCCACCCAGGCGCCCCTAGTGAGTGTATTTTATAGAGCTAATGAGAAAATGATTAATTAAGACAGAAGGGCAAGTAAGAGAGAAGGCACCATGTATTTCTAAGTAAACCAAATGCTTCTCAGAGAGCCCACGCTGTGACAACAGTGCTCACCACACAGATAGAGAGGAGACATGGGGAGCAGCAATGGCTTCAGAGAGCAACATCTACTTCAGTCTCACTCTCTGTCTCTCTCTCTCACGCACACACAGCACACATAGAACTTTTCTGGAAGATATTCTAATTTACATAGTAGCACTTAAAATAAAAAGAGGGGCACCTGCGTGGCTCAGTTGGTAGAGACTCTGACTCTTGATTTTGGCTCAGGTCACAATCTAGTGGCCTGGGATGGAGCCCTGTGTCCGGCTCTGAACTCAGTGCAGAGTCTGCTTGTCCCTCCCTCCTCTATAAATAAATAAATAAGATCTTTAAAAAGAAAGAGGGAAGCACATTTAGGATAAAAATATTGAATTAATTAATGAAGCAAACTAAGTTAAGGGAGAAATGAAAGAGTCAAATTATTTTATTTTTATTTTGATTTTTTTGAGTCAAATTATTTTAAATCATGCAATGAATTTAGACAATAGGTCAGTTGACTTGATGTGAACATGAACAAAGTTTGCATTACCTAGAATTCCACTGAGCATGTGAGTCCGGAAACTACTGTGGTCACGGATCCCATCCGTCCACTAAGGACTGGCAAAGCTCAGCTCCTCTCTGCTCATCGGTTTCCACGTGGGCCTTCATGAAAAGCATCCTGCTCTCAGGAAGAGGGGAGAGCACCCAGCGATTAGAGCTCCGAACGCGGGAATAAGAAGTCACCTTATTATTGAGGGTGGACGGGTGAGACGACTCCCGGAGCGCCCTCGGACGCAGAGTCCCTGCGAGTGCAGACTTAAGACTGTAATGGCCTGCCCCTCCCAGAGGTACTAGCTTGTGGACCCCGGATGTAGGGGCGGGGCAGGCCGGATGGAGACGTCCAATCGGTGGGGCCTGCGTATATCCACGGGCTGAACTGGGATTCAATTGGCTACCTGTGTAGGGGCGGGGCTCAACCACCCCCATAAAGGTTGGTCTGCGAGGCGGTGGGGGAGAGGAGGAGGAGAGCTGTCAGAGGAAAAAGAAGGAAGAAGGAGCAGAAGAAAGAGAGCTGTAACAGCTCTTGTAAGAGCTGTGAGAGTTGTAATAGCTCTTGTCAGAGCTATAAGAGCTGCCAGCGGCCCGAGCCGCCAGCAGTCCCAGCACGCCAGCGGCCCCGACACCAGCGGCCCCGTCGGCACACCGCGGCCCTCGGCAGTGGATACCGGGAACGGCCTAGACGCCAGCAACCTCCTCGCCGCCAGGAGCGGCCTTGACACCCTGAGCTGCAGCCTCGACGGAGCTGCGCCATTCCGGCGAGTGGCTTCGTCTGGGAAGAGGCTTCCTTGGTGAGCAGCCCTGCGGGAGGCAGCATCCTCAGGGAAGAGGCTTCCTCCAGAGTGGCCTCTTTTTGTGAGCAGCCTTGTCCGGGGAGCGGCCTCACCGGAGCAGCCCCTGTCCGGGGAGCAGCCTTGTCCGGGGAGCAGCCCTGTCTGAGGAGCGACCTCATCAGCAGCGGCCTCGTCCTGGGAGTGGCCTTGTCCGGAGTGGCTCATCTGCAGAAAGGCCTCATCCTGAGTAGCCACGTTGGGAGTGGACTTGCCAGGGTCATCGTCGTCACCTTTTCGTAAGAGACAACCCTGACCGGTCAGTTTGATTCTTGATGCTTGGCGCGAAATAAAGCTTTGCTTGAACTTTGCTTTTTATCAGTCTCGTTCCTTTGATCACGGACCCTAACAAAGACGCGACTCAGTGAACAGCGACACCAAAGCACAGTTCAAAGCTGTAGTTTGTGCAGATCATTTCTGTAAAGGGGAGTTGGAAGTATACTAGGGTCCACTGAGGGCGGGAATTCTGGAGACGCTCCGTTAACAGACCAGTTAGGCGCAATGGCTCCCAGCGATGAAGAAACCGGCGCCAGCACCACCGAGTGTTCATGGACACCTGGTATCCCCTCGGGGTGGGAGCTGCCAAACGCTCTCTCTGCCCTTTCCGTGTCTACAGAGAAGAGTTGTAGGGGAAATACTTTCAGGGTCAGTGGGTTTGTCGGCCACAAGACGGAGGAGACTTCAGGGCACAGAAAAAATGGAGGGGTAATGCCTGGCAGTCCCAGAGGAGCTGGACACTGGCGACAGCTGTTTCTCCAGAGCCCTCAGGACACGGCCACCTTGCCTGGTTCTGGGTCCACGTTCTGGCCCACAGGCAGAAAGCTTTCATCCGTACACTGTTACCCACTGGAAATGTGGGATGCTGAGACGGATTCTGTTTCTTCTAAGAGTCTAACAGGTATTTGAAAAAGATAGCTACTTACCAAATTGGTGGTTGATGCCAGGACGGTGACGTCAGGGGCAGCATTCATACAGGTGTAGCAAGGGGTCAGCTGGACAATAAGATAAAGGTTTGAGACTCAGCGAGCTCACCTGCTTGCTGGCAAGTAAGTATCATTTCATCTGTAACTGCGCTGACAATATCTGCACAGGGATTTGAGATCGTCCCTGAAAAACTTCTGCGATTTGTGCATAACACTGATAGCTCTTAACATTTATAGTAAAGTTGTCCAAGAGGGGTGCCTGGGTGCTCAGGCGGCTAAGCATCTGCCTTCGGCTCAGGTCGTGATCCTCGGGTCCTGGGATCAAGCCCCACGTTTGTCTCTCTGCTCAAAGGAGCTCTTGCTTCTCCCTCTCCCTCTGCCTGCCGCTCCCCCTGCGTGTCCACTCTCTCTCTCTCATAAATAAATAAAATCTTATTAAAAAAAATAAAGTTAGGGGCGCCTGGGTGGCTCAGTGGGTTAAGCCTCTGCCTTTGGCTCGGGTCACGATCTCAGGGTCCTAGGATTGAGCCCCGCATCGGGCTCTCTGCTCGGCGGGGAGCCTGCTTCCTCCTCTCTCTCTGCCTGCCTCTCTGCCTACTTGTGATCTCTATCTGTCAAATAAATAAATAAAATCTTTTAAAAAATAAATAAATAAATAAATAAAAATAAATAAATAAAGTTATCCAAGAGGGTGAGGTGAACAGAAATAACTAGAGGACAGCCTTAGTTTAGATGTCTAAAAAAATGATAAAGTATCATGGGAAGGTCAGCAGAAGACACTGAAGGTTTTTTGGGATTTTTTCTGGTTTGCTTTTTAAAGGTTTATTTATTTATTTATTTGAGAGAGAGAGAC